TCATCAAAGTTTATGTGAAGAACCCTTACCATCAACTCCGATCTTGCCATCACCATCACTGTCACCAGCGGCAAGGAAAGCCTTGGTCTCCTTGTCGGTGAGTGCTCTGGCACTGGCAGAGAAGTTCTGCAGGAACAGCCTAACAAGTAGAAAAAACAGTGAGTTTAATTAATGGCAAAAAAGCTTTAATGAATTCTTTAAATGTGTTTTGTTCTTGTAATATATGTACAAGTAAGTCAGAAGATAATCAGTTTGCCTTAAATGAGGCCTTTTTAAATGTACTGATGAAACAACACTGTATTGTAATGTCAGGTTTTCTGAAATCCTAAGGCCAATAGGCTTTGTCTTTAACAGCTTTAAGTCTTCAAGTATTTTCTTACTTCAGCTCCTCCTCCTCTATGAAGCCACTGTTGTCCTGGTCAATGGTGGCGAAGGCCTTCTTGACATCATCGGCAGACTTGCCAGCCAGACCACATGCCTTGAAGAATTTCTTGTAGTCGAAGGAGTCAGCAGCTGAAAGAGCACATTGCAACGTCGTTAGTGCAGGATAGGTAAGAGAGCTGATCGTAAGGTAACTGCATCTGGGAGTTTCTGAGGCTCTGCCTCTCTGTTTACACCTACTTTTCAGTGTAAATATTGCAATGTGCCAATAAAAGAAGAAAGTGAGTTATCACCTGCGCAGCCATCCAGGGCAGCTTTGACATCAGCATCATTGAGACCAGCGAAGGCCATTTTTTTATTCTTGGAAGGAAAAGAAAAGGTGAAAATTAGTATTCTAAATATTAAGAAGTTGTCATGTGGTCATAATGCAAACAGTTTAACTTTGCATATTCATTTATATGCATCAACACAAATGAACATGGAAACACTGCCTGTGATCGGTTCTGTTCTGAATGTATAAAGTCGCACAACAGTAGCTAAGCCCTGAATATAAAATAGTCTTTTCTCTGCTCTAGCTTTAGGTAAGAGTTATCTCATCTTTTACTGTACAATCTCCCATGGTAAATATCCATGCTTCCCCTGAGCTAAAAATCTTCCTTTCGCCTCAGAGTATTTCCTCGCAGCCCTTTACTGACTGTTCATCCCAAAGTGTTAAGCTGTGATGGCACTTAGTAAGTGATGCTTTCCCCAGTAGACCAAATCACACAAACATTAGTATCTGCCGTACATAGAGAAAAAAATCAGATGGCAGCAGAACATATTAATCGCTGCAAAAAACATTATTCTTCCAAAAACACTGATCCTCTGAAACCAAAAGGCCGTCTCTTTTCGTTAACTGAAATGTCCTGAGGTCCGTGTGTTTGCTGTCTATGTTGGCTCCATTTCTCCCTACAGCTGGTAGTCCACAAGGATACCCTTCCTCTGAATCCTTTTCACCCCGGAGTGTGATCTGCAGGAGTCGGGGTAGCATTTAGAAGGTTCCCGTCCCACTCACCTTTGCTCTGCGTTGAGGCGAGTGAAAACCAAGGCGGACTGGAGTGATTGCCAAAAGCCTCTTTCCCCCTCTCTTATATATCCTTGAGCAACACCATTTACAGACGTTTGAGTCTCAGTATCAGGTACCGAGATGCATGGGTTTCGAAAAAATGTGTCTAGTAGCCTAGATCTATTTTTAGGTGAACAAATGAGGATGCTACCATGTGTGCATAGGCCTATAGCTAGACATGTGGAAACCTGAGCAGCTCCGAGACTCCTCGGCTTCATTGCACATGTTGCAATCATATGATGATTTACAACCAAAATCTAAAATGTTGGTTTTGATGTTGAAGACCATAAATTTGTATATGTGAGTGTGCAAGGCATCGGCAGACACTTTATCCTGGGACATGATGAGAAGTCAACACTAAGGACAAGCAGCTTCTTGGTGTTTGATTTCCCGATTACTATAGAGACAAAATAATTCTTTAAGGCCATAGGCACAACTTGCTGCCATGTGCTCTAGATCTCCTGAAAGGATTGTTGAAATGTTACCCTTTATAAAAATGTTGCTGGGATGATCAGCTGTGATTTGTGAGCTTTTTTCTATCTTTGCACCAGGCAGATTATTCTTTACTGCTTTATGAATTTATATTGACAAGCAAGAAAATAATGCAATGAGTTCTTGAAATCTGAATACATCTAAACATGCACATAGTATTCAATCACTTGCTTTTTGGTTATTATAAACTGTATAAATCACAACTATTATTTTCATTTTTCATCTTTCAAATTAAGTAATAGAGCTTTAGACTCCATTGACCTCTGCCTATAGGTAGATTATCCTCTGTGCAAAGCATAGGATACAGTATCTTTACATGAGTTTCAGGGAACCTCCACAGGCAGGGTCACATTTCAGATGTACCAGCACGTCTAAACCGGAACAGGACTTTGAGGTCTCTACTACCAGATATCTGTCCTTAGTAGGCAATCTGCCAATCATCTAGACTATTTTTTGCATCCCAAAGTAATTTTTGTGTAGCTGGTTGACAATTTGATGACAAATCTTATTTTCATTTCGTTTGCTTATTTAGTTGTCAGGCATTTGGGCCCAATAAATATAAAGATTAGATATTTCTAATGGCAGTTAATATTTCAACCAGACTCCCCTGTAATTTGACAGTCACTCTCCAGAAAGATGAACAAATCCTAATAAGGAAATCTGGGTACTTTATTTTTGTAAATCAATAGATTTCAGTAAAGGTGATCTTAGGATTAATTCCAAAACATTGGTAAAATTGGACTTGGAATAATTTAAATTAGAGTTTTATTTTTGCTGTTATTAGCATTATACATCAATCATGTCATTATGTATGCTGTAATATGACATACGATAATTATTTGAACAATGTTGAAATGCATATGAATTATACAGTCAAAATAAATGACAACACCGAAAGAGGAAAATAACTAAGAAACTGCCTCCACATGTGGTTACCAATTACATACTATACAAAAAGAAACATACATATACAAGTGAGTTATAAACAGATGTGCAAAATAAATAAATGTAAAGAGAACAGTTACAAAAGCACATAAAAAGAGAAAAAAATTTGGATATATTTATCTTAGGAATCCACAAGATTGAAAATCAAATAACCCAATCCACCTTTAACACTTTAAAACTATAGTTTTTCTTGGGTACATCTGAGTATGTATTCCATAATTTGGCACCTCTCTACTAAATTGATAACCAAACCCTGAGAGTGAAGTATTCAGTAGAGTGTTGTGCTAGAGCTTGCCTAGATCTACTTAAGAGCCATTTTTAAAATAATTTACCAGTTGTGTGTTGTTTGTTATTACTTTTATAATAAAAAAATACGTATCTGAGAGGTACTGATATCCTAAATATGGAACATTGAATATTGAAGAACAGAAATAAGAACAGAAATATTTTATCATCAAACTAAAGAAGAGCCACTTTGGCAGAATAATTTCCCCTAAGCTGAACAATTTTTATCCAGAGCTTAGTGAGAAATCCAATGCAATTAGATTAGATTAGATTAGATGAGCTTTATTGATCTCACAGCGGAGAAATTCACTGGTCACATATTGGCATAGTAATTAAAGAAGGTGCAAACAAGGAGAAAAAGGTGCATTAAGAATAAACAATATATATACAGTATATCCAGGTACATACAGTATATCAAAAACATTCATGTACATGATCTGCTCTATTGTTGAGCTTGTGTGTATCATGTTAATGTGTTTGCCTATCTTGAAATAAAGAAAAAAAATTTCTTCAATACCCTTAGATTATATTGATTATTTGTCCTAAATAAGTGCAAAGGAGAGTTTATGGACGTGAAACTCAAGACAGGTCTGGGATATGATCTTGTGGTGCTGCAGCCCATCTCTCGATCCTTCATGCTTGCAGCAGAAGGACAGCTTTAAATATTTGTCTGGTGTAAAACATAAAACAGATATCTAGATACAAGAAGACATTTTTACACTTTGGTTCACTCCACTGTACAGAGGTGGTCAGCCGTTCAAAGACAGGACAACATACACATGGGGTAAAGCTATTTGATCCACATACACTCCTGAAGAGTAATTTATAGAGAGCAGTCAACCCAATGATCATATAGATTTTGGTTTGTTGTTGTTTTCGGGGATGTGGGAGGAAGCTGGAATATCTCAAGAGAACCTATGCATGCATAGAAAGAACATTCACAGCCCGGGTAGAGAGCACCCAGATTCAAATCCAAAAGCAAATGACATCTTAGTAATGTGGTGTGCACCTTCAACCTTTCTACGTCAAGATCATGTTGAACTAACTTTTTTCTTTTGCTAGTTTTTCTTTGATCAATTACTCAAGTTCAGGTAAATTGACTGCTGAGTTTTATTTTCTAAATGATATCAGATTGAATTATAACAGATTCACCGTTGGATTTATGTCTGGGCTTTAACTAAACCATTCTAGCAAATGAATATGCTTTTATCTAAATACTTGAAAACCCAATTTCCAAGTATCCTGAAGACAAAAGGTTTTCCTCCAATATTGTCTGGTTTTTGGCTGCATCTATTTTTCCTATAAGTCTGAACAGCTTCTCTATCTGTATTGATGAGGAGCAATCCAAGGTAATACAGCCACCACTAGGTTTAAAGCTTGAGATGGTGTGATCAGGGTGCAGTGCTAGTTTCATTTCTTCCATAGCATTTCTATATATTGTGTTACTGTGCCCAACATGGTTCCTGATCCTTGGTCTTGATGCCGTTCCTCCTGAAATATTCTCAGATAAATGTCTGGGGTCTTCACAAAACAGCTGGATATACACACATTAAGTTATGCACAAGTAAATCCTATTTTCTGATTAGGTGATTTCTGAAAGATTTTAACTTGACTGGGTTTTATTTCAGGTTTTCAGTTATAAGAGTGTTTAATATAAACACAAGAATAATTTTCTCCATAATTTTTAGTTCACTAGATCTGCACCTTTGAATACCTCTAAGAGGGCCTAAGAAAATGTGGCTATGTCTATGAATGAACTCAAACAGACAAAGGAAAAGTCAGGAGACAGTGGTCTAACACCTGAAATCCATTTATTATTCCATTCAGAGAACCAGCTGGATTTGAACACACATATCCAGTTTGGGCCCTTTGTCTGTTAAATGTTTCTAGGTGTTAACACATCAAATGGGAAACAAGCAGGCAGGTACAGAAGTTTAGGGACATTTTTTTTTCCATTATTCATTGTGGAGGGAAAATAATCCCACTGGGAATCAGAAAAGGAGCACAGGGATCTGGTCTTGTGAATTTATTTCTTCAGTTTAAAAGATCACAGAACTCTGCAGGAAGGAGAAAAACAGACAGAAGTTAGTTTCTGCAGAAGAATTTTCCAAAAGCATTTATCATTTTGGCTGCTGTAGGATTATTCTCCTGTGCATATGTTAGTTTTTTTGCATCGCTTTTCTTCCAATTCTCTACAGCAAAATACCGTCTATTCCAATTTTGCCATCACTGTCTTTATCCCCTGCTGCCATCAGCGTCTTTGTTTCGGCCACTGTCAGCTCCCTGGCAGCTGGGCAGAAGTTCTGAAGGAACAATCTAAAAGAGGACCAAACAATAAGCATCAATATATAAACGTTTAGTGGGAATTTCATATCTTTAAAGGGATTTAAATGTGTGGCGTTTCTACCTAAACCTTATGTTTATCAGAAAAACATGATATGCCCTAAATATCTGTGATTTAACTTGTCTTTGGGGAGGGCAAATGTGATTTATGTGGCACAGTTGCCCTTACTTCAGCTCCTCCTCCTCAATGAATCCGCTCTTGTCTTGATCCAGGACTGTAAACACTTTTTTCCTGTCTGTCTCAGACAAGCCAGTCAGTCCAACTTGTGTGAAGAACAACTTGAAGTCAAATGTGCCCGGAGCTACAGTATATTGGTCAGGGAGAGAGGGAGGGGGGCATAAAATGGAGCAACCAGAAGAAACAGACACATGCCTGAGTGAGTGGTCAATTGCTGAATGACATGAAAGAAAGAATAGTGGGAGCCTGAATAGAGATGTCGCTTTTACTCTTTCGCTCAGCTGACTTTCTTTCTTCAGCCAATGACATTTACCAATACACACCCTAAAGCACTTCATGGACTTTGCTCCTATCCTGCTCAAATTGCACAAGGAAAAGGAATATTGCCTCAAGTATTAATACAGACTTAGATGCCAAAAGCTCTTAGCTGGTGGAGGAGCTTTTTATAAGATTCAGATAGCTCAAAGGATTCAGTGTAATACATGTGCAAAATAAATCAATCAATTCACAGATTTACAAACTCTAATGAAACTATTCTATAACCACCTTTATTTAAAATATATCAACTTTTAATGACATTAGAAGTATAGAAATGCTTAAAAAAATGTTCTCACATGCCTTAAACATCCCTAACAGGCAGGTTTGGGTGAATAAAGGGCATAAAAAGCACTGACATTTTCTTTTCTATGGAGCAAGCTATTGAGCTTTGCATGCCTTGCCATGCAGACATAATTGCTAAAGATAAATAATTAAATGTCTCTGCATGTGAGGAGGTTTATAGCTTGCGTGTTTGGGTCAGCTATGCAAATGATGTCTGATGGAAACTCTTTGGTATCATGTTGGTAACTAGTCTCCTGCCTTATGTTTGCCTGGTAACCAGCACAATCCCTGCCTTAAACCCCTTGTGAAAAAACACTGTGCGAGGTTTCTTCCCCTGAGAGAGTTGTCACTGTCTTCTTGCACATATATGCTGTGTGTGTCATAGTGAATAGTTTTGTTGCTTCAATTTTTTTTTTTTTTTTTTAAGTATGTCTTCTTGCATGCAAGTTTTCGCATCTTGTCTGACTCACCTTGACAAGCTTGGACTGCAGCATTGATGTCCTCATCACTCAACATCCCAGCGAATGCCATTTTCCTCAGGGGCTACCTTAGGGAGACTTAAAAAAAATGCATGGAAGAAACACAAAGTGACAGAAGTGGAAACATGCTCTTTTTATATATGATAGCAGTTTCTGTGAGAAATAAGAGCTGTATACTGATTGATTACTCCCTGGGTTTCTATGAAGACATGGAAACTGTTAAGAAAAGGCACCAATTAGCACTAAGTATGTAGTCTTTACAAGTAAGATGACTGCAGTCTAAAATATTAATATTTTAGAAAACTTTGCTGGGCAGAAGAAGAAATTAGCCTAAATCTTCAGAAAATGTTAGTTGAGTATAGAAAATTGATAAAAGAAAAATTAATTGTAAATAGCGTTAAATTGGTAAAAAGAAAAAGAAAAAAAAAGAACAGATTTTTTTTTTACAGATAAGATACAAACAAATACCTCCTACAGTGAAACAGATTTGTCAGCAAAGGATTTGGGAGAAAAAAGGGCACTCACCGTGCGGGTGATGCTTTCACTCTCGGAGCAGATGATGTTGTGGATCTCTGCCTCGTTTGCTATGCACCCGAGTCACAGACACTCTGTTGCAGATTCGTGATCTAGAGAGTAAGAAGCAACCTGACGTATCAGTCCTCAATCCCAGAGAGATTTCCTCCATGCCACGCATTGCCTCCTCCTCCTTCATCAGTTAATCAGAGCAGATAATTCTGTCATTCATAGCCCTACAGTTTTGCAAACTCTCAGTCATATCAGAAACGCTTTATAATAAAAAAATCTGATTAAGACAAATGTTAATTTTTTTACTGTACCATATTTCAAATAGCTGGTGATCTCTAAAAGTGATATAAAGAAGCCTATAAAGCATACTTATGAAATGTTGCAGATAGAAATTTTATTTTTTTAACTCGTAATCAATTCACTTCAACTTTTGTTTGAAAAAGCATGCAAAAATATGCATCTAATCATAGAGTTTCATATAAAACATTGTCTTCTAAAAAAGAAAAGGCCATAGAAAATCATATGGGTATTATTTGATGCCAAGTATCATTTTCAGTTTAATTTATTTTTTCCATTTTAATCACACTATCAAATGTTATTTAGATTTTATATGATAATAGGCCATATTATATAGTATTACTGGGAATAATATGCATGACATTGAAAGTTTTTTGCACCTAAACATCTTAAAAATTTTGTCTGTATTTGTTTTAGGCTGTTTTTTTCCCCAAGATTGCATTGTACTTAGATCGATCCTTTTTCTCATCAACTCTGGCCAGCATATGAAGGATGTCTTAACAGTGATATATAGTGTTAGTTTTTAAACACAATAATGTTTTATGTTGGCTGAAAAAAATAAAGAGGATTTATTCCAGATGTTTTCTGATTAAGCCAGTAATGCAGCTGATAAAAATTGATCATCAGGAAGTCTCTTCTTTAAGAGGCTCTCATACAACAAACCTGGCTTCAATCAGATGCCTCTTCTGCTACACTATAAGGCAGACCCCTATAGAAGATCATTCCTGCCCACAACTAACACTGTCCACTTTTTGATGACATTTATAATCTACTAAAACGTTGTGTTCTTCTTTAAGTTAAAAAAGAACTAAATAAAATCAAACTAAATGATACTTGTCCTCATAATAGATTATTCCAACTGAGCTCTGGCTATATGCAGCTACTCAAGAGTGACTATGGACCTCAACTGGTTTTGAATCAATGCTCTTTTGCCTTGCCTGTAAATTTGGACAGATGAACATCTCTTTGTGGTTTTACAGCTGAGTCATATTTTTTACCATAATAATATGAGGGGTTGAATAACTGTGGAATGTCCAACATACATGTTAAGCATGTTGTTCAGTGAAGTAATTATCCCTTAAACTTCTACCACAACTATAAAACCTATCTGGGGTGTGTTTTCACATATCAGTGCTTTATTTTCTGAATGACATCTGTTAGAGCTCTCTGTAGCAGTTATATGTAAGCAGAGATAAATGAATCTGTACCATTCAGAGCCAGAGCCGTAGCCAGAAATTATTTATAAGGGTGGCCAGGCCATAACCAATGTACACTGAGGGGTGGCCGAAAGTAGATGGGCACCAGAACCTCACTGTCAATCTACACTGTTCCAACAGGAAAAATAACGAACAAAACATCCATATATTCTGAATAAAGACTAACTATACTTTCCTACAGTCTTTGCTAACAAATAGACGCATATATTTAAACATCTGTAATTTCTAGATAAAAGGTATAGTGAATAAAACTCAGTTTTGAGTTCTTGGGCGTAAATCTTTTCCATTGTCATTACTTACGTACTTGTATCAATAAACATTCTGCATAAAATTTATATTTACAAGCACTAATATCTAAATAAATTGATTATTTGATAAGTTTTTATTGATATTGTTATTTATCTCCTAGATGACTTTCAGAGACACATATTTTTCTCTTTGTCCCATATAACACAAAATCTAGTTCTGAAAAGAGCATGAATTATGTACTTATCATCTTTGATGTTAGTATATTGATGTGTATATTTAACCACAAAAAAAATAAATGTTTTGAATATTCCTCTTGAGAGTATTACTGTTGCCACCATCTGTATTAAAGGGGGGAAAAATGGTATGGCTAAGGTGGCCCCCCATCTAGCTCCGCCCCTGTTCAAAGCGTCTGATGTGAGAATCTGCAAAAAGGTTGAAATCAAACGAGCCCCCATTTGTCCACCAATCATATTTCTCTCCCGGTAAATAAAACCAGATATTTATTTATGGGTGGTCGTAAATCCCGAAATAAACATTTTATGCAGGTACACAGTCTTCCGTTGCGTAACAATCACGTCAGCCAAGTGCTTGGGAGTAAAAGGCTTTCCTCGGCTTTGATACAAATCACTGAATTCACTTGACCGATAAGAAAACTACGTGTTGATTGGCTATGCCAGTGTGTCGTGCAGGCTTTCTGAGCCTTGATTGGTTTATGTGACTTTCGGTCATAGGGAATTATACGCCCTTATCCCATGATGTACAGGAACATGGCGCTTTGGATGAGAGGTGTTTCATGATACCAGTGGGTTGTTTGATTTTTTTTCTTACGTTTATTTAAATAACGGCTAGGTGTATTGCTTGAACATGACAGCTCGCGAAAGGAGGACGCTGTCTTTTGTCTACATAGACAACGAAACGCTCCATGTCCGAGTGGCGTTTGCTGTCGTCAGCTGAAACTCCTTAGCCTCAACATGCTAGCTCAAGCTAGTTAGCCCGGTGGGTAGCAACTGTCCAAAACAGTCCAAAATATGGTCCCGTAAGATGCTTACACTGACAGTAAGCTAGCAATCAATGAGACCACGCAATTTGGTACAGTGTCGGACGTATATTTAGGATAGTTTCAGTGTGCTAACATATCGTTGGCTAAACTTAGATGATGGAGAGACGCCATGGATTTGTGTTATTCCTGGTTACCGGGATTTTTCTGTCTGGATGTTGGTTCTCTGATGCTTTCCCTCTTCGCGAAGCTCGCAAAACAGGTAAGGATGCTGAATTAATTTAAAAAAAAAATCCAAATAATTCATGGTTAATGAATTTATACGTAAACATTCATGTTAGCTAGCATTTGCTGTCTGATGCTAACAAGCAGCTAGAAAGCTAACGCCAGCATAACAGTGTTTCCTGCTGAATTATGAATATTTATTATTCACTGTTTGGGTAAAACTTTGCTCATAAGTTTCAAAATGACGTTATATTACTTGTGTCTTGAATGAATCTGTAAATATTTTAGAACAATTATGAGAAAAGCAACACAAGTGAGTGAAAGTCACGACCTAGCTAATTGATAACTCGACAAGCTAATCATAAACAAACTTTGCTTGAATCTGCCTCTAAGAGAAAATCGTTTATGTTATAGTTTATCTGCTTCCTATCTAACGGGAAATCACTTTATTATGCCTGTAATGTATTGTGCTGTAAATTTTATAAAGAGTAAATTTTAACTTTCAGGAGGTGTTTCAGATAAATATCCCACTGTGGTTTATCAAGAGTTCACATGGGAGCATTAAAAGAACATCTAAATAACAAAAAAGTCAGTTGTTGAAATCTGTTGGGTTATCATATAAAATGACATTTACATGTTTAGTTAATCTCAGTCCTTCTTGGTGGTTAGTTGACTTGTAATAGTTCATTAATCTATCTAAATATGTTGTATTATTATCCTGATTTTTAAAATGGTAGCAGAGAACTATCTGTATTAAACCAAAAATTACATCCCGATTGAATATTTTTATAAATTTAATATAATATCAAATGTCAAATATTTATATCTATTTATTAGTGCTGTGCCGATGCCATTTTTTGGCCCTGATACTCGCTACCTGGCTGTGTAGTATCGGCCGATACCATACCGATACCATCTGTTTGAAATTGATGTGCGTGTGTGTATATATGAATAACTGAATACTACTTGGATGTAAAATAATTGCCATCATTGCTTTGTCAAGATGCTGCTTACCTTTGTGAAGCAGGAAAAACACTAATACAAAGTGAATCCAGTAGAACATTTTATTGCCTACCTGGAATGGGTGACAATAGTTGAATAAACTTTTGGCTCTCAAAATGGTATCGGTGCGCTTTTTTTCAGTACTCGCCGATGACTGATACCACCATTTTAGTGCAGTATCGGAGCCCTGTCTGATTCGAAACCTTTTTTTCAGCTAGTAGAGAACATATTGATGCATCAGATCAGTTGCTTTTCATGAATAGCGTCTTCAAAACATTAACAGTTTAATTGTTTAAAGGGTCACCTATGGTATAGTCAGTCCTGCAGTGTTGTGAACAGGAACAAAAATATAATGGATGATTTTGATTACGTTAACTTCAATTATTATGTTAAACCGCAAAGCTTTGCCAAAATTACAGAGAGCATGGGCAGCTATGATTCTTGGGTATGATTCCCAGTTTTAAATGATAAAAAACCTGTTCTTGACCATGAAGGGTGGGAGTAATTTTAGTGATTTGATGTGAATTCAATTTAAAATCTGTATGAAGATATAAACCCGTCAATTGGACTACTGGTTGCTACTGTATGGCTGAATAATGGGAAGCTAAGCATACTGGGAGATGTGGCTGAACAATTTAGCAAAAATTCTATATTGCATAAAAGGTTTCTTCACATAATATTTTAATGAAAGAAAGTCTAAATTGGGTTTTTAGTTTTCTTTCCCTTTACACTAACCACATGTGGATGTTTCACTTCAGTTTTGTTGTTTTCATTACCTTGAAAGCTTGTTTGTCCATAGTTCATTGTCGCAGAACTTTATTGTTGTTTGGAAAAATGCTTACTTCTACTCGCATGCATGGATCTGTGTGCTAGCTGCATCTATTCCTTTCTTTTAACATATTACTGCCACCCAAAGGGCTGGACTGAGAAAGTCATTGTCTTACTCTTGTTAAATGTAATAACTGAAAATTGAGTGGCTCTGCGAATTGAGAATTGCGTTTTGTAGTGTTGTGATTATATTGCAAATGAAATTGATTGCCCAGCTCTACTGGGAACGTCTGGTTGTTATTTTGTAGATTGAAGAAATTGAATTTTCCACGATTACTGATCCTAATATATATTTAAAATATATATTTTACATTTCACATCCTGAAAAGAAAACTAAGGGCAGAAAGGCCCCTATACTAACATCAGCTTTAGCAAATGTCAGTCATGGCATCAAAATAAAGGAACACTAGTCTTTGACGGCATATATTGTCTTTAAACTTGTTGGACGTAAACAACATAATAATAACATTTTTCTGTGTGTTTATATTAATTAACCCTAAAAGGGTTCTGAAAATTTACAATTCTTAAACATTTTCCTAAGTTTAGATATCAGTTATTGTGAATGCATGCTAGAAATATGGGTTGGATATTTTATACACTACAGAGTAATGTAGGTGGTTCAAAGCTTTGTCTTGTAACCTTGGGTTATCAATAGAGACAGAAATTACTTGACTTCACCCACCTTGCTTATAGTTGGTCAGAAGACTCTTTGATGCTGATTGTTTGACAGCCTTGTATCTGTCAGTCTGACCAATGGCAGCTGTGGCGACAATGCAGCTTACCACCATCAGTATGTGAAGTGTTGAACAAGTAAAGGTCATTTTCCATTTAACCGTCTCATCTCATATGGAGAAATGTCTAAATTCTCCTTCTTCTTTTAACATTTGTTCACCAAAATAGTTAAGGGTATTGCAGAGTAAAGTTAATCATTGCATTATGAGCATGACAGAATTGTCTCAAAAGCCTAAAGAATAAGCTCTTTAATGTTTATAGCACTTAATTGTTTTACCTACATCACGGGACCTCTCACGAGTGAGATTATATTGCTGTTATCAATCAATCGTTTCATGTGCTAATTTTCTTAGATCCAGGCATCTCCTTCAGGGTATATTCTATATGAAATGACCTGAAATAAAGATTTTAGTTACTATGACATTGCAATTAACTTAAAGAATTATGTCAAACTGATTTACATCCACAGATATGTCCAAATCTAACAAGCCTAGTTCAGGAAGTAGTGTGTCTGTCTTTCTAGATTTCCTTTATTAGGGTCCCTCTCTTCAGCCTATTAAGAATACAGCATTAAAAATGTCTAAAGCTAAAGGTAAAAAGGTAAATTGTTAGTCAGTAATGTTTAACCAGTAGATTTTCTAATCTTATCAGATCCTGTAAATGATTAGTAACAGTGTGGTTGCTCAGTTGCAATGTAGCATTACAGGAAAGTAATGCATGAACCCATTTTTTATGGTTTTATCACCCCACCACCCTTTCCTTGCCACTCCTGTTTGGCCTACATTAAGCAGTGCATAAATAGTAGAGTGGATGTCCATTTTTGCTAAATAACAGAAAGACACTCAAAAGTTTTCAAATTATATCACGTTAGCTATTGATTTCAGGTTGGTTATCGTCAATTAAAGTCAGATGTACATTTCTAAATTTTCCTGCCATTATTTATGTGTTTTAAAGCCAGTTCATGGTGGCATATTTACCCTAGGGAACAGTGGCTGTAACCCATTACAGCGCTGTTGTTTTGCTGTTTGTATACCAGTCAGTCAGGAAAGGTCATCACACTACAGGCATAATTATCTGTTATAAAGCTGCCAGGGATAACAAATTGTATTTGTATGGTACAGAGAAAAATAGATGTTGATGTTTTCCAAATTCCGGAAAAGTGTCATAGTCTTTTGATTTTTTTTTTTTTTTTTTTTTTTTTCATTACAAAACAAACCGAAAAAATATTTGTAAAAGTAAATAAACACAACTCTTAATTTTTCCTTAGAAAATTATTACTCTTTCTCATGGTAACAAGGGGGTAATTTGCACAGGGTTTACCCGATTATTAAGCGATTAATTGGAAAAATAATCTACAGAATCGTTAGCTCCATCCCTATGCTAGTTAGAGTGGTGGTACATTGAATACATGACAAGTTTTTACAAATATTTCCAGATGTCATGAAAGAGGCATTTAAAAGTACAGTTGTGTCTTAATTAAAAGCATGCAATATTCATAGAAAGGACATTAGATTTCATAACTTAATGTAAAAGCAATTTCAGTTGTCTTCCTTTTCTTTGTGATCAATTATTGCTTCACCTAACTTCATTATGAGTCAAAAGAAAAAAAGACAAAGGTGGATATTGGTAAAATACTATCTGTAGTTTCATGAAATACATGACATTAGTGGAGACCTGAACCCCCCCACCCATGGGAGACCTAACTTTATGTTACTGAATGTTGAAGATGATCAAAGACAGACAAATCCTGAACCATCTAGACAATGCAGTTTTCTGTTCTCTACAAATGGGTCAGCTTCTCCTCTGTGAAAATAACTGCTGAAATATGCAGCACAGCTTAAATATGACATGACTTCTTCCTACTGTGTTGGTCCTGGAAGAGCAGGATAGTCTGTTTGAGAACTCTGCCAAGTCACAATGCGATTCTATGACTCAAATGAAACCTAATATAGAAAAACTGATCCCATGCATAAGGGCTGTGACCAGGCTCCTGTTGGCTCCATCTGACTGCTGCAGGAGCATCTCTGGGGGTCCTGAACTTCCTTCTCACTTGTTATACTTGAAGAGACAGCAGGGTATTTGCACTGAATGCTTCCTATATTTAGAGGATTTTTCACAAGGTTGTTTTGAAATTCAACCCTATTATTGTTAGCAGGATTTTACAATTGTAGGTGTGTGTTAGTGCCTGCAAAATTCCACTGGCATTTTGTAGATTTACCGACTGTTCAAAAATTAATTCCTTTTCCTATGCTTGCTAGTACGAGGGTCTTTAGTTAGACTTTTCAGCTGGTTTACATTTTTGAGTTAAGTGAACATTGGGGTATACAGTATATAATCGTAATTATTGAAAATGTAATTTGTTGTAATAATTTAGTTTCAAAAGTGAAATTGTACCATACATAGGTAAAAATGAATAGATTCATTAAAGACAGGAATGCATTTCATGCATTTGTTTGCTCTTCATTATGGTTATGGCATCTTGGTAATTTAGGACCAATAAAAAAAATGTTTGGTTATGAAATTATATACCCATGTTACAACCTTCACAATTAGAGGGGAGACTGCTGACGTGATGTTTGTCATTGACAACTTCCATAAACAGGGTTGGCTACAAAAGGTCATGGGTAAAGCAGCTGGGTTTTCAGAGTGCTATATACAAACATGTTAATGGAAAGGTCATTGGTAGAGAAATACTGCAAGTAACAAAGGTGCCTGAGCTACTTTTAGAGGACTGTACAGTAGAGGTCATTTAGGATTTTAGCAGAGGCTCATAAGGTGTGACTGGGGCTGAAATTGGTTGTCTCTTTCAGATCACAGTTGTGCACTAAACACACAAACATAAACCCCTCATTATGAACCATGTGTCCTTTCATATACTGCTGGGTTTTTTTTTTTAGATTAAATTAAGGTCATATTAAGTTTCCAGTGTTAAACAGAAGACGTGTGCACTGGTTTTATATTCCAGATCAGAGTCAAATTAGTCTGAAATCCATTCAGACCAGCATCTTGCAGGAAGGACTCTGGAGAGGAGGTTTTATTTACACTGTTGATCATTTCAATAATGTAATACCAATTAAGAAAAATCTAAGATTAAAAATTTTTGTGTAGAGCAAACCACATATGTCCATTTACCTCTTCAATTTGAGTTTTGATTTCAGATCTTTATAGAGAATCCCTGTATTTATACAAATTTTTGAAAAAAAAAAAAACAAACAACAAAATAATTCCTTGTAAAAGCAAAGTAGACTGATTTACTACAGTTATCTCCCTGCTAAACTAATGAAGTGATGTATAAAAAATAAACAAAGCAAGGTGTGTATGACGTCATCTGCGTGCGCCGGCTACCATTCATTCATCCTGTCCGCTGAACTGCTGCTAGTTTTATTCACATGCCTGGAAGATGTCTAGTGCTACTACCACAGATGATCTTGCTCTCCAAATGGAATTGAACGATTCAGATTAGCTAGCCGAATTAATATAAGGGGTAGGGGTCACAGCTCCAGTCCGGCGCGCAGATGATGTCATACACACCCCGCTTTGTTTAAAAAAAATATAAATATAAAAAATATAACTGCAGATGTCTGGGTGACACTGATTCGTCTACATTTTATGAATGCTGCCATACCATAAAGAATTAATTATGAACAGTTTAGTTTGTGCCTTCAACTCGTTGCCCAAAGGAAGACGTTACTTGGATATAACAAAACCAAATATCTTCAGAACAGCTCCACATGACAAAACTAATATGGGTGAGTAGAACATGATGTAATAATGTAAAATCAAGGGGCCAATGTAAAAAAAAAAACAGTGTTACCCTTTAAGACCATTTTGAAAAGACTCAACCATGGATGTCCACAGGTGATCATCATATACACTTTTCACATATGTATAAAAAAAAAAAAAAAGACTAATATATATATATATATATATATATATATATATATATATATTAGTCTTTTTTTTTTTTTTAAATTTCCTTTTTTTTTTTTATTTCCTTCATCCCTGTGCAACTTCCTAATTAGCTATCGCAAAAAAAAAAAAAAACTCTAAATATATAATTTCTTTAGTCTGAGATTTGGGTAGAAATTGAAACTGCAAATTACCAGCTTCTTAGGGGTCTTTAAACCCATCAATAGTATTTAAAGAAAAGACTTTCAATGACTGTCATAACGAAACCCATCCTTGAAAGACCTTGAATGGCAGTTTTTTTTTATGGTTTAAATTTCACACATACGACTGCTGTTAATTTGACCTTTTTTTTTTTTTTTTGGAAACTGCTGGATTTCAGTGTTTTCTATGCATAACAAGACATGCATCTCTGCTTTCAATCTCTCATGGTCCATCTGTAAGATTGCGTTAGTAATCAAGTTGGAAAGCAATACCCCGCCTGGAAAATGTAAATTTTAGGATGCATGGTTTAAACAAGCCAAAAAAATGAACATTTAGCATATTGTCACTTGTTGGAGACCATTTTAGGCTTGCATACACATTTCCTGAAGAGCTTAAAGACCCCAGCAAATCCTAATCTCGCCATCACTGAACATGTTCATTTATTGTGTATAAGAGTGTTGGTCCAATGTGGTTTCAGATGATACTTCTAGTGGTAGCAGGAGGTAAATCCTGCCGCACTTGAATTTGAGGAAATCAGTCTTGGGAAATCTGAAAATGCTTCGAAGGAAACTGAGGTGTACAAACCCCTGTCATTGTCTGCAACATCAGCTCCTTCTCTCTAAGCTGTTATCATGAAATAAGCTTTGGGTTTAATTTTTTTGCCCCCATTGTTTATAGATATACCTAAAAGTTATCTTGTGATGTGGGTTGGCTTCAGTCTAGAAGCTGAGAGGGGCAGTGGGTGGACTGAAAGGCTGTTGTTAAAACTGCTGCTCGATTTGCTAAGCCAGCAGCATCCTCGGTCGAGAAACCTCACACCTGCTGTCCCTGCAGCTGCACCATCAGCCACTAATGGGCCCGCGGACGCCCTAATCGCTGTCTCTGAACTAGAAGCTGGGTCAGGGCTAGGAGCTCAGCATAACACTGCTTTTTAAACCTGCAGTGGGGTGCATGGTTGGTACACAGTTGTCTGAAATGAACCTTTTTCGTGGTTAGATTCAAAAGAAAATGCCTGTCAGTTGCTCTCTTTTATGTTTTGGTCAGACTTTTTTTTCTTTAACACTTCTTTTTTGTATTTTTTTCATTCCAGATGCACACACAGGGGGCACTCTGCCTGTCGCTCTCTACCTGCCCTTGACCGTGTCATTAATTGTTCTGGTGGCACTGGTGGTCGTCCTAGTGAACTGTTTGACCTGCTGCAAGGAAAGAGAGATCAACTTCAAGGTGAGAGTCGTGCTGTCAGCTTGTTACAGGAGCTCCTGATATGACTTCTTTTTTTCGTTATAAATTTGGGTTATTTGCAAAAAAGTATTGACTGTTACTGTGTTGCATTGATCAAACCTCAGGTATTAAATATCCTACAATTTATTGTTGCTGATGCAGGAGTTCGAGGACCATTTTGATGATGAGATCGACTTCACTCCGCCTGCAGAGGACACGCCTTCTATGCAGTCTCCAGCAGAGGTTTACACCCTCGCTGTGTCCCCTGTTCCACTGCCAGGGCCCCCACATCTTCAACCTCTAGCCAGCATTACAGGTATAATATTTAAGCAATTCAATAAGAAGTTTAAACCACAGCAGGACTGGTAAAGGAGGCTGAAACTCCAGACACTGTGCCTATAAACCTTTGTTAAACATAAAAAAAACAACATTTCTAATTATATTCATTAGATTTTGATGGTTGTTTGTAAATTGGATTTTTAAAATGACCCAAGCAAAAAGTGTTAACAGTTAGAGATGTCCTGATTTTATTTGGTTCATGTTTGTGTTCCAGAAACGTCAAGCGGTTTCAAAATAGGGCGCCATAGTTTGAGTTACATCCAGGAGATTGGCAATGGCTGGTTTGGGCAGGTAAGTTGTTTTTTTTGTTTTTATGTGCATGCTACATGTATTTTTTTTTATTGTGATTGTTGATTAATGTATTTTGAAGACACATAGGTCAGCTAGTAAAACAGATATAATTAAAATTTGCTCTGGTAATGTATTTTTAGTTCAGGAGTCTCCTAATACTTTAGCTTGTGTTTATTTACTCTCAGGTCCTGTTAAGTGAAATATACACAGACCCCGGAGGAGCCAGAGTGGTGGTAAAGGAGCTGAAAGCTAATGCCAGCGCCAAAGAGCAGAATGACTTTCTGCAGCAGGGCGATCCATACAGGTAAGAAAACACAGTAGTCATTTCAAACAAAGGGCATTATAGATGTCTTGGTTCTTATGTGTACTATGGTGCCAAGTTCTGTGCCAGTGGTTGTTAATTTGTAAATTTTGCCCCAAATGATCATAAATGAAATAAAATAAATATATATATATTTCACCTGCCTTTACGTCAATTATATTTTCTACATTGTGAATTCTGTTTTAAAACTCACATGTTGCATTTTAATACAACAAATCCATTTGGAAAATGTGTTTTAAATTGTTAATTTTTTATGTGGAGATATACATTTTTTAATAAGTAAAATTTGCATTAATTTGCAGAGAATTAAAGACTATTGGAAAAGTGTCATCAGAGCACATATTGATGACCTTTTACATTCAGAAATCTTTATTGGTGCTACCGTTTCACCTCACAATCCATCACATACATCAATGACCTTTTCTGTCCTCACATTAGCAGCATTACACCGACTTCTTTAACAGCTACTTAACGGAACCTGATATCGGTGAGAGGACACTGATGTGTGTGATGACAGCATTATAGAAAACCACTGCACAGTCAGAACGCAACTTATTGTTTACTGTGAAATGGAAGATTGAATCCAAATGTGAAGTACCCCATGAGATGATAGCACAGGCCTACCCGTTAGAGCAACTTTTTTATACTTTTCTCCTGTGAGATGCACTGAAATATTATACAGTGGTCCATTATCATTCAACCGGTAAACTAGTTTTCGTGATTATGTTGATTAGGAAGAAATGTATTTTAGATATCATAAATATATATTAAGTCAAGCTGATCAATGTCAAAACGGCCACTTAAAATGTATAAACATTTCTAGTTGTATTAAATGTAATTATAAATAGGACAATTTTTTTTATTTTTTGAAATTCAGTTTCTGCTGCCAAAATATACTTAAGAAAATAGGTTATTACAGTTCTGAATAGGAATGTTGTTTAGACCAGAAATAATCTTATTTCAGTGATCTGAAAATGGAACAACAAAGAGGAGAGTCCTTTAATAAATGTTAAAATATTCTGCCGTACTCCACTTCATACTCCACTTCATATAAACTTGCACATTAACTCTAGCAGCAATCTTCTCCTTCGCCGTCTTCCTCTCCTTGCAGCTGTAGTGCTGTTTTAAATACATTCTCCAGGTTGTTTTTTTATTTTCTTTTTCTACACTAAAATCTTTAGTTCCAGTGTGGTACAATAGGTACATTCTGTCTCCTGTTCTCATGGTGACTCATCGAATCGGGCCTCCACTGATAATGGCTTTTCATCGTTGTTAGGCTCTTGCAAAACTTTGAGTGGACCTTCTCAAAGATTAAATGAACTTAAAGGAGCTGTTGTTAGTTTCCAGTCTTACGCTACATTAATTTGGAGTATAGTCTAAGTTTGTTAAACTTGCTTTGTGAAATAGGCCTCTTAAATTAAGGCAGCTCCTTTGTTTCCTGTCTTTCTCTACTGGATGAACTGATTAATTGAGGGCCGTTTCTGAATTCACGAGAACGCGGGTACGGACTCGCGTTCTCGTGAAGTTCGGTCTTGGCAAGGACAAGTCTGCTCTGATGCATACTCTATAAAGAGGGCAGGGCGAGAACAACATCCGGGGATTTGGTGCATTCTCGATCTGGCGTTCTCGGCAATTGTAACAGCACTCGGGCTGAGGCTGATGACATGTCACGAGTACACGAACACGCTTAAGAACGCATATTGAGAAATGATCTAGGTGTGCCTGACCTCAGTAACAATGACTACAATGACAGACACTGGATTAATCACTTCATTGGGTAATGACAAACTGGGAGCAGAGGAATTGGCTTAAGTTCAGGAAGTAGTGGAGTTGTGCATAGAGCCCATTGAATTTTAGAAATAATTTAGATATCATGAGATAGTACTGTGTGGGCAGAAAAACATGAAATTCAGAGAAATATAAATAGAAGAAAGTTTTAAACTCAATAATTGTGACAAATTATTATATCTTTTTTTTTACCAAACATAATTTTTTCCACAGCTGAATAATTTTAGTGAAAATACTGCGAAAACTATTCAATTACTGTTAGCTGTTCGCTCGGTTTTTCTTTTCTTTTTATCACATTTTATTCTCTTTTGAAAAAAAAATGCAGAATGAAAAGGTTAAGCTTTTTTTTTTTGTTTTACCTAACTGATGTGACATTTAATTAAATTTTTTTATTTGTTCTCAGAGTGCTGCAGCATCCAAATATCCTCCAGTGCCTCGGACAGTGTGTCGAGGCCATTCCCTTCCTGCTGGTGTTTGAGTATTGTGAAATGGTGAGTGAAGACACATTTTCAGATTTCAACGATTCAATCATTTAATAATGGACAAAAACAGCTGCAAAGATCATATTTGTATCGATATCCAGAATTGTTGAGTTGAAATAGCTCTTTGGACTTCAATGCAGCACTGCATCAGATTAGAAAATGTAAAAGTGACTCATGTTTTGGGCAATTTTGACTAAAGGATTAACATAGAAATTCCTCCCATGTGCATCAAATTCACTTATTGGTCGTCATGCTCAGTGATTGTTGATGTTTTTTCACTTGGTTGAAGCAGTGCTGTGCTTTAACTTAGGGGAGCTCCCTCTCCCTCCATCGCCTCTTCCCTTCTTCAGCCAGTTACATATTTACAGTAAGCCCAGGACTTCTCACATTCCCCCCTCGCCCAGTAAAGGAACAGGCTCCATTTACACTCCTCTGGTGTCAGCTCTACCAGTTGCTGTGTTTGTGCTTTTTTATGGGCAACCCGTTCTGGTCATTGGCAGCTGTTGAATGGATTCCTCAGAAGACGAAGCTGTAGCTAAAGAAACTTACAGTAACCGTTGAATAACTCTTGAGTTTGTTTCCATTTCTTGTTACAAACTTTGGCTTTATGTTTGTTCTGTAGATTAACATCTCACTAAGCTGCTTTAAGACTTTTGTATCATTTTGGTTGTGTAGACTGTAACCTGGCCTTTTTAGCATACTTCTAGCCTTGGTGAACTTCTACCTTGCTGCCCGTTTCTCTAAACCATTTATCGTGTTCAGCAGAGTCCAGTGGAATTAGTCTAGCCTGGGGTTGCATCATCCTGTTGGTTTGGGGTATTGTCAGCTGCCCACACTTGGCAGAGCTTCTGGCATTGTGGTCTTTCTCAGCCAGCTCTAGTAATCCCTCTGACAGCACACAGAAATAAGTCAAGGTGAATGACTTGCCACAAGTCATTAGGGAGAGGAGCGTGTGATGAACGAGCAGGTCTTGTATGTTGTAGGTGATAATGTGTAAGGGGAAGCACAATTGAGTGATGTGTATGCTCGTTATCCCTAGCTGGGTAAAGATTTTAAAGTGCTTTAAAAGGAAGCCGGATGAACATGTGTTTTCTTTCTCTGAATTGGGCAACAGGAGCAGAAGTTGAAAGGTGTCCTCTCACTACTTTAGGTCGTCTCAGTCATCATCTAGATGTGCAAACCTGAAATTTAACCCTACGGCTGCCACGTGAACAATTTGAATCCTGGAACAAAATAATCGAGTGTAATGTTTCCTCTTTCTGACTTATGATTAATGGTGTGGTTTTTTTTGTTTTTTTTTTAGTTCTGTACAGTAACTGGGTCACATTGATTTGGAACATTTGGACACGGATGTAGTCCGGACGTTTGATTGAAATTCAGACATAGCCTGACTTGGGCCCTTTAAACTTGTCGACACAAGTTTACATCAGGCAATTTATTACATAAATTTTATCCTCATTAAAATAAATAATTGGTAAAGTTCTACATGGTTTTACATAAAGGTCTATGTAACCATTACAGTTAACATTTTTGGCCAATTTCCTAACCTGGATTTTATTTTTTTGACTTGCTTGGATTTTAATCCAGGGACTGAAACATTTTCCAGACATGGAAACTCGTAATTCAGCTTTAAACAATGAACAATGTCACAATAATTTAAAGAAGGAAAACATTTTTTTTACTCTTTAAAAAGCTATTTCTTTTTAATCAGAACTATATTTACTTAAGACAGCGGTCGCTCATTTTAGTTTATTTAGATATAGATTCTTACTTAACCTATTAATCTCTGTTCAACTCACCTGGTTTCCATAAATGGATGTGTAAAAGTTGCTTAACTGCAATCATCTCAGTCAGGTGTGTGATTTACATTTCCTGGTAGCTTTCCTTGGTTTATTTATTTGACTTTAGGCTGTAAATAGACTAACGGTAATCACTAAAATAGCTTAATGTCTTCCGAACGGTATACTAGGCTACTTATGGGGGAAAAAAATCCTTTTAGTGATTATTTATAACTTGATACTGAAGCAGCTGGGCTAAACCTGAACTTTGTACATTATTGTTTGTTTTTGTTTTAGCTTTTTTTATAACAACAAATTTTCTGGAAACTACATTTAATTACCTACTCCTAAACATTAACAATACAGATGGGCAAAAAAACCTGAGGCCTTTGTAGAACAGTTTCTGTGCTTAAAATGACATGCAAGTGGAGTGTATGTGCTTAGTAGATGACATGAGAGTGCAGTTGGTTGCACAAGATTTCTTAAAGTGGTTTTATAGTTAAAGGGGTTTTTCCGAGATGGCGTAGCTGTCATATACTGTCCGTTATCTGTGAGGATGGACTTGCCAGGTGGCACTGAGATAAAGAGCGTTTAAAGGAGCCTGCATACAAATCAGCTTGTGGAAAAATTGATTCATTGTATTTATTTTTATGTAAACCCTAATAAAAATGGATTTGAATGATTAGCACATTGCAGGAAATTCCCTTCAAAATTTGTTATACAATAATGCACAAACAATCTGTTGTGTTTCAGTGACTGATGGACACAGGTGTGTTATAAAGCTTCGGCTGAGATGTTGTTGAAAGTCAAATTTACTGTCTCTTTGGCATACCGCCCAGGGGTTAACTATTTGTTCCCATTGCACCTCATGATTGACGTCTCACTGCTCTGTTGTCATGCTGCTCTGGTCAACTCCCAGTGATAATATTTCTGAATGGGTTTTATTTATTATTTTAAGTTTTCATATGACTGTTTTATTGTATTGATTGTAAATAGCTTCCCAGAAGTCACGGTTACAGGGTACTTCCTTGGTCTGACCTAGACGCTCTTATTTATAAATCTCTGTGACACAGCACTGAGGACCATTGAATAGTGTTACCCTTATTTGGCTCGCTCTCACATAAAGTGCTGAAAAGACAAGAAGGAGGGGTAGTCTACTGCCCCTTAGTGGTAATGCCTGCACACTGCATATTAATACAATCCCTCTTTTTATCTCTTACAGAAGGAATTTCTTTTTTTTCTCCTTTTTTTATGTTTGTTTTGAATGGGTTAACAGCTCTAAGTGTATCTTTGCTTGACTCTGCAGGGGGATTTGCGAAGCTATCTGTCTCAGCAGGATTGGACAGTCAGAAACGCTGAGTTGCTGCAGCTGCAGAGGATGGCCTGTGAAATTGCTGCTGGTGTCACTCACCTTCACAAACACAACTTCCTGCACAGGTAGCACTTCAGAACTGCAACATCTAATTAAGCTCACACACTTTTGATCTACTGAGCTAAGCATTATGTTTTGGGCGGCTGCTGTTTAAGGCTGTCGGTGACACTAGATGTATATACATGAACAGAGTATTTTTTTTTTTTTCATGATTACGCAAATCAAAACGTCAACGACATCAGCCTAATGGTTAAATCAGGCTTTGATTTGTAAACAAAGTTATTTACAAGGTATTTAACTATCATATAGGATGTCATAAATGATGTGAAGGTGTAGGTCAACGGTAGTATTTGACTTGCACGCTGTCTGTCCAACTAGTCTCAAGATTACCAGTGTTTTCCAAAAAAGGTTTGTACAGCAGAGAGGCTGCGTTTCGTTTTCATTTTTACCACAGCCAGCACTGGTTGGCTGTCTGCCCCCTACAAGCAGAGCGGCAGGGAGACGTTAAGAACTCTGTGCTTGCAGGTTGAGGTGGGGCTAACATATGATGCTCAGTTCATCAGCTCTATTTTGCATGCTCAGAATAAGCTTAAAGGGTTCCAATTACACAGCTCCAATGCATTGCCACAGTGTCAGCTGTCCCCTGCCAGAGGGATATGATGATTCTGCTCTTCGTATGTAAAGGGATACCCTCATATTGGGCGTTGTTTTAATCCTTGTTACAACTCAGTGAGGTCTACAGGATTTCCTCATTATCAAGGTTCTTTGTTGAGTTCAACTCCGAATGCTTAAAAAATGTTTTAAAATCATGATGTAAAGTGTAAAAGGACAGGGTGTACTGCTCTGTGAAGCTACGTAAGAGGGGAGGGCACATCGCAGCAACACAGACAAAAAAAAACCCTCAGGGAAATGCTGTGTGGGCTGATGTCCCAGGCTGAAATCTCAGCTGTGCTATGCAAGGGTAAGAATGAAGGTGCCAAAGAGCAAGACTCAATCAACAGCATGCCAGTTGAATAAATTAGTATTTAGAAACCTTAAAACAGCACATCTTCTTTGTTAAGTGTTTTTTTTTCTGTTATGAAATAACTTTACGTTATTTTGTAGGAGTCTTTATCTAGTGCTGAATATGTTTTCTCCTGCCTTGAAACATTTCTCATTTATACAAAAAAGAAGGTTCACATTGTCACCTGCTTCGTTATACAGCTGCTTTTTAAAAACTCATTCTTCTTTTCTTTTTTTTGTGCGTCATCCTTTAAAAGTTCATCTTTGAAGTTTAAGATTATGGTTTCTTTTAGGTTTGTGTGAATAATAGTTATTGGTAGGATCATTGGAGTCCTTTTTGGGAAACTTAAAGTAAAATGTTTTATAAATTACCTCCAGAACTTAAAAAGTATAAAAATTCTTGAATAGGTTAGTGTTTTTATGATTCCAATTAAGTCATTACTTAAAAATGAAATCTGCATCCAGTAGGAATATTATTTGTTTTTGTTTATAGTATGAAAGGTTTTAAATATGTTAAAAACTCATAATTTCTTTTAATATATATTTTTTTTTTAAATAAGAAAAGACGCATCTGTTCAACCCAATGCAATCAAATTACAAATAAGGAATTAATGTATGATTTTTGTTTAATTGCAGTTTATTTCATATTTTCTTTACTCTGTTTTAATATATAAAAAGTTTTTCATATAAACAGACATTTCTTTAAAGGTTTAAACTTTTGTGACAAATTGTGACACTTTTACATTTTTTTTAAAACAGACCTTTTTGAGTAGATTTTAAAATCTGACAATTTTGAATGTTGTTTTTGAAGATATTAATAGTGACCTCAGTATGACTGAATATCAGAGTAGAAGGGTTTGCATTGAGTCCACAGATACCTAATAGGTATTTAAGCCTCTGGCCATATAATGACCTTGTAGGGCTAAAATGTGGAACATGCTTCCCTCCTTGCTGTGTTAGTTACATGTTGACACGTTAACCAACAGCAGAGGACATGGGAGCGTTTTAAAATACATCTTCATTTTTCTTTTCAGAGGTTCTAGTATGGCTGACGGTTGGCTAAGCCATGCATGAACGCACAAGGATATAGGTGTCTACAGCGTTTGTCATTGGGTGTTTTAAAAAGGACTCTGTAGTGAGAATGCTGGTGGGGAATAGAGTAACACAAGCCTGGATTCCCTGTGAATTAACCACCATGTCTTATTTACATGCAGAGCTTTAGAGCGTGTTATGCCCTCTGCTGGCAGACAGACATAAGGATCTTTAAGTCTGCTTCTCTTCCCGATATATCTGATGATGTGTATCTTAGCAAACATATATCTTCTGTAAGAGATTTGTTTTAATATGAAAAATGACGAGGCTTCTGGTTCATTAATCATATGTAATTCTTCAGACTTCTATCTTTAGAACTATTTTTTGGCCTTTTCTTGCATGGAGATAAATTAAGCATAAAGAAAACACTTGCACAAAGGGGATTAATCATTGAGCCTCTTCAGATGTCTAATCTTGTTTTTCTGTGTTCTTGCAGTGATTTGGCTCTAAGGAACTGCTACCTGACTGCAGATCTTATAGTTAAAGTGGGAGACTATGGGATTGGACCCTATAGATATAAAGTAAGGACATTTTGGTTTGTTTCCCTCTGTGCAGTAATTGGATGGTTATGTCATTCTTGTAATAAGCTGCATAATTACTTTATCTGACAATAAGTAACAACATTCCTTCTCACACTAACAATCAAAGATCCTGGGTTTTAAAATACAGTTATGTGCAAATAATCTTTATCTGCAGTTTAGATTCAGTGACGTACTTATTCGTTAAGTCTGAAATAAGGAAAATGTGAAAAGGTAGAAGTGAACCTGCTTAGTTAACTCCAACATGTTGAAAATTAAACAACTAAGTCAGAGAATAAAAAGCTATCTGATAACTAAATGTTGTTTTTTTCTTTTATCAAGCTCCAAAGTAGTTGAGCTGATTTTCATTTAAAGCTCTTTTCTAAATTTCTGTTCAAAATGTTTCATCACTAACTACGTTTACATTGACACAAATAACAGGATCAAAAATGTAAACATATCAGGCTGGCGATTCTAATCCGATTCTGATGGAATGCTTGCTGCATGTACACACAAGCCATGGTTTGATAATTTTATTTAGAGTCCATTTAAACAGAGATTTAGGATTTCCGAACAACCAAAATTTATGTTGGATCGAGAACATTTTACACATGCAATTGTAGCTACTGTTAATCTGGAGATATCAACCATACATTAAAGCACATTAAAACCATTCAATGCATGTAGAGTTAATTAGTATTGTCTACATTCATATTATCACCGGGCTGCTCTCACTCGCCATAGATTTTCAGGACCTGGAGGTGTGTTTTCCTCAACAGTGACACAATATTTTGTCCCTTATCTTTACTGCCCATTAATGTCAACATGTTCCTCCAACTCTGGAGAAAGTTGCAGCTAATACAGTCTTTCTCACCGTGTCATTGGAAAGATGAAATGTTCCCAGTTATCTAGAGTCATGCGGTGATCAACATATAACATCTGTAGAATATTTGATAGTTGGATTTTACAGCCAGATATATTTAAGTTACTTACTAATGTTATTTCTTGATCTGAAATGATAGATGTTTAGTCTGTGAAAAAAAAAAACACCGGATGGTCCAATAATCACAGCTAAGGCTCTACTCCCCCTTTTGGATCTTCTTCCCTATGACTTATTTTTAATCTGTCTTTTTTTATTTATTTCTGGCAAAATATGTATTTAAGGTTTTCTGTCTATGGTAAATTAAAACTCAGCTCATTCTCACAGTTAAGAATTATATCAATCGACGCTATTTTAACTTAGCAACTGCACAGATTAGATGTGCTCCATCTGAGCCGAAACAAATGTTGCCTTTGATCAGACATAGGGCACATTTCATCGCAGAATTCAGATTGTCCTCTCTGTAACTTGATTTGCTGCATATGTCTACAGCATTTGGATCTGCTACATTCCTGAAATACTGCTGAGCCGGCAGTTATGCTGTCTGAATTTAATACTTAGGAGGGAAGGTCACCCAACAAATCTATTTCTGTAAGAAAACGGAACCAATGTCATAGATTTGCTGCATCGACAGCTGCTGAATTTCTCCTCTTTGTCAAGGTTTTTGCTGGGTTTGTCCAAATCCATTCAGAGTATGACACCACGTTTAAAACAATCCTGTTTCTGCAGGAGGATTACATCATCACAGAGGATGATGTGTTCGCACCCCTCCGGTGGCTGGCTCCCGAGCTGGTGGCAGAGCGCCATGGGGGGGTGATTACGATGGAGCAGACCAAGGCCGGAAATGTGTGGTAGGTACACATATGTTTGCTCTGCTAGTCGCCTCATAATGAGTTAGTCACCCGTTTGCTGCTGATGAAGTCCCGCTGGAGTATAGAGGAAACAATAACAATGTCCTGTGAATTAGAAGAACACAGGAGAATGTTTTGTGTTGTTTACAGCTTGGGTCAACACCTAAAATATTTTTAGATGTTTTTTGCCTGCAGAAATTAAGTTCAAACATTTTTTTTTTTAGAAATAACTTTCTTTTTCTCCTTTTTTTTTTTTTGCATAGCGTTAACAGTAATTAACTCTTAGAACTGGCCTCTATAGAGTGAGTTTTAAATTCCAGCTGTCTAAGTTCCTGCTTTACTAGTACCAGTGATATTGTTAATGTCTCTAAACATATATATATTGATCAAATATAATCATCCTTCACCTAACAACTCCCCCTTTCAAAAATAGCAGCTGAAATACCCAGCTGATGAAGTATATGCTCACAATATCATTTTTAATTATGCAGGGAAATGTTCCACTAATGTTAAAGTTAATTAAAAAAATTTCAGTGCTGCTATTTTTCATTAAAATTTTATAAAACATACGGTTTCTTGTTGACCTCTTTGAAATGATGGCCTATTACACAGTAGTAATGTGGCTATGTAATAATCAGACTGAAGTCCTCAAGTTTCCCAAATTTAACACGCTAATCAAAGACTGAATAACTTCCTCATGAGAAAGAGAGGAAAGGTGAAAATAGGAACATATTCCTTCTGATATCATCATAGGAGCATTTTATTGCCTAGAGCTTAGAGCAGTACATTAGATGTTGAAGAGCCTTTAAGATCACCGGTTCAGACCTCAGGCAGTTGCTCTGCAGCCCGGAGCAAGACCCTTAAACCCCAGACTGCTCTCTGGTTGCTATTTGGTGAGGCTGCTCACAGCTTCCTAGATGATGGGTGAACAGCTCTACTGAGGACGCCATCTCCTCTGCTCTTCACCTGAGCCTGACACACCTGGAGGAGAAGAACACCCACATGCAGATGCTGTTCCTGGACTTCAGTTCAGCTTTCAACACCATCATCCCACAGCATCTGATAGGAAAACTGAAATAGCTGGGCTTCAATACACCCCTCTGCAATTGGCTGCTAGACTTCCACACCCACCTCAGTCTCGTGCTGTTCACCCTGATGACACATGACTGCGTCCCCAGATTCTCCACCAATCACATCGTGAAGTTTGTAGACGACACTATGGTGGTGGGCCTCATCAGAGACGACAACTACCAGGACTATATAGAGGAAATGGAACAGCTAGCGGGCTGGTGCAAAGAAAACAGCCTGATCCTGAAGGAGATCATTGTTGACTTCAGGAAGAATTGGCCCAACCTCGCTCCACTGCTGAACAGCTCAGCTGTAGAGGTGGTCAGCAGTACCAAATTCCTGGGGGTGCACATCAGACACCCTCTCCTGGACTGTAAAGACCACCTCACTGGTCAAAAGGGCAAAAAAGCATATGTACTTCCTGTGGAGGATGAGGAGAACCCACCTGCCCCCACCCATCCTCACCACCTTCTACAGAAGCACCATAGAGAGCGTTCTGACCAGCTGTCTCACTGTGTGGTCCGGAGGCTGGAGCGCCTCAGACTGGAATAAAGTGAGGAGAGTAGTGAGAACAGCAGAGAGGATGATCAGGGCTCCTCTTCTCCCATTAAAGACATTTCATCCCAGTGCTGCATGTCCTGAGCCTGTAACATTATAAATGACCCCTCACATCCCCACCATGGACTGTTCTCCCTGCTGCCCTCTGGGAAGATACTTCACAGCATCCGATGCAGGTCCAGCAGATTACAAAACGGCTTCTTCCACACTGCCAACAGACAGCTGACCTTTTGATTAAAAAACTCATACTACAGTCTCTGCATCACACCGATAACGGCAAACCAAATTACTGCACGTTTGCACCATATAAATTTAATGCTCTTAATTTCCATATTAATGCGTTTTTGCATCATGTTTTTTTTTTTCCTCCCACACAAAGTGCAGCAGTGATCAAATGTAAACAGTGTAAACACAGAGCTGCCACCAGTCCAGTTGTCACCTTTAGCTTAACTGATGCAGACCCATCTTGCACCATTCTGTAACAAGCAGAACATAACTAGTGTTTGACAATTAGAGATGTTCCCCACATCTATCAGCCTCATGCATGTTTTTTTTTTTTTTTATCTTTTTTTCCCTGTAGAAAAGGAAATGCATTACTGTTTTATTTTGTTTTAATTAGCAGTAGTTGGCTGAGTAGCAAAGATGTTTAAAGAGATTAACCATAGCAGCCACTTATTGTCTCATTTTAGGGCCTTGGGGGTCACATTGTGGGAGCTTTTTGAGAATGCCACTCAGCCGTATCCACACCTGTCCGACCGTGAGGTCCTGCATCATGTAATCAAGGAGCAACAAGTCAAGCTATTTAAACCACAGTTAGAGCTTCCTTATTCTGACAGATGGTGAGTGAATTCAGCCTTTATCAGAAAATTGTATTTTCATTAAGAAGGTAGATTTGAAACAAGAATTTGCTGTGCTTACTTGCAGGTATGAGGTGCTGCAGTTCTGTTGGCTGTCTCCTGAGAAGAGAGCTACGGCAGAAGAAGTGCATCGTTTGCTCATCTATCTGCGAATGCAAGGGCAGAAGGACATGGAGGAAGATTTCGAGCAACGCTGGGATGCACTGAAGCCTAACCCAACCACAAGACAGACTGTTAGTCACTCATCTTTCCCGATCCTGGATCAGTTCGCTGATGATGCGTTGCGACAAGAGATAGACGAAGTTTTGACCATTACGGAAACAAGCAAAGGTCTCAGCTTTGAGTATGTTTGGGAGGCAGCCAAACAGGACCACTATGACGGCGCCCTCGGACGATCCAGTATGGACACTACGCTGAACTACCAGAGCATGTTCTTCCCCGTTTCCAGGGAGGACATCCAGGCTCATTTCCCTGATCCTCTACCCGTCACCGGAACAGCTGGAAGTAGTAACTCTGCAATAGGAATACCTGGTATTGTCCCAGTGTTTGATTCACAGAAGTCATCTAATGGGAATGAATATTATATACAGCTTGAGGAACCAGGTGAGAGCGCTGACAGGGATGTTGGGAATGGAGAACAGGACACAGGCTTTACTTCTGGTCAGAAAGACTTTGTTTTATTACAAGATGTCCACCTTGATGAGTCAAGCACAGATGCTGACTTTTTTCACCAGAGCATTGACTCAAAGGATTCTTATTTACCAGACAGCCACATCTGGTCATCTCTGGAAAACGACAGTCCATACCACACTAACATTTTCACTGAAGAAGGTTCAAAGCATGAAGACTCTCCCTCCTGGAGGCGAAATTTCCTAGAGCTCCCAGATCGCAGTGGGAACCCTTTCCTTGATGGCGCTCTGGAAGGCGAAGAAGTGAAACCAAATCCAAGCTATTTTTTGGAGGAGGATTCTTATCAGTTTCCTATAAAGGAAGAGCGAGAGAACACGGATGTGAAGAGGCCTAACAGCACTGAAAAACTGGCTGATAACTTTGTGTTTCTCAGAGAACAGAACCTGATGAAAGAGAACTACAGTTTTTCTAATCCACAGCAGAGCTTTCTCGTACCCGGTGTTGTCCATGAACCGGAAGATGCGTTCAAAATGAATTCTTGGGATACCTTGGAGACTTCAGGCAGCTTAAACACGACCGATATGCATTTCAAACCTGCAACAAGTAGCACAGCCTCTAGGGAGGATGTTTTAGATTCTCCAAGCACTGACTTGGGGCAATTTTTGTTAGAACATGAAATTCTCGTGCCTTCCATTACAGTGGTTGCAGATGATAACACAGAGAGCCAGAAGCCAGTTAGAAATGGTTCTTCCTCTGAAGACCTCACTCTACTGCAATCCTCAGACAGGGCTGTAGACTCCGGTTTCAATTCTACCTCAGAGAGGTTTGAGCCCACTACTAACAAAATGGGCGGCCATATCCCGTTTTTCTCTGACAGTGCCACTATAGACTCTTTTTCCACAGATGCCAAAATCTCCAGCCTTGAAGATGACCCTGAAGTCTCAAAAGCCGTAGGAACTAAAATGCCTGAAAACCTTCAAGATAATGTAGTTAGCTTTGAAAATGAACCGAATGGGGACCTAACAAGTAACGATCCCCTGAGTGAACTGATTGAAGACACGGATCTAGACCTGGAAACGAATCTGTCTGATCAGGAGGAGTCTTTCTTGGAAACTAATGGACATCCACTTGTTAGATCTCTCCTTGTTTCAGGTCCGTCTTTGGATCAGATAAGCCAGGACAGTTTGCTAGAAGACAGCATGTCCACCACTGTCCCAACCATCGACAATTCAGCCGAAACGCCGGATTCTCTCGACTCTCTAGACATTCATCGGTTGGCGGAGCAGGTGGAGGACCTGAGCACTCAGATACCCCAAAACAAGCTTCAGCCTCCTTACAAGATATCAGACAGCGGCTATGAGACGGAGAACCTGGAGTCACCTGAATGGAATTCTCAGCCAAATGTCACAGACTGCTCTCCTGTGAAAACTGACACCAGCATTTCCAACGGCGACGAGTCAAACGCGCATGCTGTCGCCACAAATTTGGCTCCTCCAAAAATCGTCATCTCCGAGGTTGAGGGTGTGCCAGAAACTCGGAGTGAGGATCACCAGCCTGAGCCTGTAGCCCCTGCAGAAGAACCTCCTGCTGGCAGCAGCTACAGAGACTCCGCCTACTTTTCCGACAATGAATCTGAACCAGAGAAGAAGGGGGACGAGTTGACTGCAGGAAGTGCTACAGACGACACATGGACGAGGAACCCTGAGGGTCCGACTCTGAGAGATTACAAGGAAAAGGATATTGATGCATTATTTAGCCAGCAAGAAACTGAAACTGTAGAAACTGATGACCAGGACCTTCATCCAGTGACGACTTCACATATTAAAGAGGAACTAAAAAGTGGGGTGGCAGATGCTTCAGTTCACCACAATGGAAGAGAACCTGAAAAACAGACGATCAAAGACTCCTTTCCTGAAACATCCAGCCAGTTACCAGATATAGAAATATCCCCTCTGCCTGTTGATACCTCCTCAAACGCAACACTAGAGGGTAACGTTCATGCTAAACTGACCAGAACCTATGCCCACGACGGCCATAAAATCAAAGAGCCCGACGTGGAGGGCCGTTACCTCGGCAGGCGGGATGGTCCAGGATCGGAGGGACAGGAAGATGGCGGGGATGCTGACGAGGAGGACGAGAACAGTGAGGACTCTGACGACGACATGCGTCCGTACACGTTGCACAGCTCCAGTTCCGACAGCGAGGATGACACGGTGCACGTGGTGCCGATCATTGTGTCGGAAGACGTCACCGGCAAAAACCTGAAGAGCTTATTAAAACCAACACACCTGAGCATCGATGCGTCGTCTTCCCCATTTGCTGGGAGGTACAATGCAGAAAACTCCAGGAGAGCTGTGTCCTTCTTCGATGATGTCACAGTCTACCTGTTTGACCAGGTAATGATTTCTTTCTCCCCTACCTTTCTATTTCAATTCATTTTTAATAATTAATAGTAACCCTTTTTACTTATGGTACCAGTTGGCCAATTTTTATTCCTAGCCTTAAACATCTAATTAAAACTAAAGCACTTTTTAAAATGATCTGTTATCTACAACTTTGTTTTCCTGGTTTGATACGATGAGCTATAGAATCCTGTTTCTTCTAACCACTGGGAATAGGATCCTTATTTGCTGGATAATAGTTCGGGAAAGAAATGCTGCTTGTTGGTTGAACAGCATACCCTTTTTATACTTCGGCATTGTGTAAGATTAATAAAGCTTTCATGTGGGTAATAGGGAGGGGTTGTACAAACTCATTTTAGCTGTGATGCTAAAAACAAATATGATTCAATTGTTTTTTTTTTTTTTTTTTTACCCTTTACAGAAGAATCAACAAATGTGTAGGCCTTTTTTTAATGTGTGCTAATTGTTGTATTCACGTTACCTTGTAGGAGACTCCAACAAAGGAACTGGGAGACCACTCGTCTGGCTTGAGCAGTCAGTCCCCAGAGCTCGGCAGTCCTGTTTCCACAGCCAGCTACCTTAACCGCTTTCCCAACTCTGAAAGCTCAACCGATGAGGAGGGTAAGTGTTAGAAGCCCCTTTAGAGTTTTAATTGTTATGGATAAACTTAAGTCCTGACATGCTGGGTTAATTCTCACAGGTGGTGGTTTTGAGTGGGATGATGACTTCTCCTCGCCTGGGCCTGCCTTCCTGTCCAAGATTGAAAAAGACCCCGTCTCTGGTGCTGTGCCCTCTACTCCCCCATCAGCAGGACGCGCGCTTCAGCCGACCTGGAGCAACTCCTCTTCCTATTCCCGTTTCTCCATCTCACCGGCAAATATTGCCAGTTTCTCCCTTACACATCTCACAGACTCTGACATCGAACAAGGAGGCAAGTGGAGCTTCCAGTTTCAGGAATCATTCCGCTGCTCATTTCTCAGGGTTATGTTTTATATGTACGGAGAAGGGCAACAGGGGTAAAGTAAAACTAATTTATAAAACTTAAAGGCTAAAGTGATATTTTTAAAATAAATGATATAGATACCTCAGCTATTTGATGCTGTAAATAGGTACATTCTTTGCATCCCTGTCCCTTTCCTGCCTACAAAACTCATCATCACATTAGAGCCATCGATTCAAACTGCATTTAAATCTATATTGTGTTTTTATTTACATAAACTTTATCTTTTTTCTTTCTTTAAAGCTTTATAGAGCAGTATATAGAGCAGTCGGTGTCAATTTGGCTTTTTGCTTCCACCGCCATTTCACTTTCATCCTTTTCTTGTTTTGTGGTGGGTTCTACCTTTTTTTTTTTTTTTTTTTTTTTTTAATTCCCTGATTTTGAAATTTCTTCAAAATATTATATTTTTCTCCTAGAAGACAACAACCACAAAAAAAAAAGATTTGGGAATTATGTGGAAGCTTATCCAAGGCTATGAATGAAGTAATGGTGTTAGTCATAGATTTAATATATGATCACAACAAGATGCTTCTTGAAAGGTTGATTTTTTTCCCTCTTTTCTTTCCAACAGGAAGCAGCGAGGATGGAGAAAAAGACTAAAGCATGGAGCGAAGGAACCATTATTGGTAACTCTACTGAGGAAGCAGTCCTTTTATTGGAACGTTGGAATGAGGACACGGTTTTTGAAGTGCTCCCCTCAGGCAGAACCGTTCTCAGAAGAATTGGCGTTTAGACTAAAAACAGACTTTCACCCAATATTAAGACGGATGAACCCCAGTCCCTCTCTGAGCCACATGTATTGGTGTAATTTTTAGTCCAGTGCAATTAAAAAGACAAATCTGCTGCTTTATAGACTTATCATGCACATTCCAGGTGTGTGTCAGCTTCCTTTCCTTGCCTGCTCTCTGTAAAGAAAAAAAAGAAAATATTTTGGATCAATGAATTCATTCTGAGCTGGCCAATAATCACTGCAACCAAACCAGAATAAGCTCTTTGATCTCAGCAGCACTACAATTAAACACCTAACATTTTATATTCATCAGTGCTTTTTGTTGTTGTTGTTCTCTCCTTCATGTTGTGCAATTATTACAGTGGTTGCCTTTTCTTCGTTTCATCTATCTTCCGTTGGAGTTGAGTGATTCTCCTATTTGGAGATGAAATTCTGTTGAATCCTTGCGTAGCAGTATTTGAATGAAAAGGACGAGGAATGCAGATGTACCAAACAACCTGTAGAGGTGACGCACTGTATGTAAGGAACACTTGCAGTAAGCTGAGGTTGTCATTGTTTTTATTGATTCTCAGACCTAACGAGGTCAGGGTTCAGCTGTCAAACAGTTGAAACGTATCCCTGATTATTTATCTTTGTAAAGCTTTATTTTAATTGAAACCTGCAGGAACTTTTCTTGATTATTCATCCCTGGGTCTAATCATGGTGCCTGTTGATCCAGCGATCCTCCTTCCTACCTGTAACTGTCACTACAGATATTTCAAATTGTTAAAAAAAAAAATTTTGGATAAGCAAGAAATCTCTATTTTGAAAAAGGCAATGAAGTAAGTTGTTTGTAAACAAATGTGCAATGAATTTTCATCGTGTTGATTGGAAGGTCCGGTGGTCATGGTTATGTGACGTGTAGGGAACACTATTAGAACAAACATAAAAAAAAAACACTACAAATATTTATGGCTGCTGTTGTAAGTTGTTATGGAAGGTGTCATGCCTTTTTTTTTTATTTGTTGTATCAAATATGGAAACTTTTAAAAGCCTTCTTTGCCGACCATATTTTGTATATCACTTCCTGTATTGCATAGCTCAATACTAACTAATCATCTTCTGCTGTAATGAGCTTTCTTTGGATGATAAAACCACTTAAAGAACTTCTCACTGGCTATACTTCACCTGTTGTAGATCCCCCACCTCTCTGTTGACACCATATCGACCACTAAAAACAGCAGCCTGCTCCTCAGTTAAACTTGAACACCTATTTAAGGAAATTTTATTTGACCACAGTATACATTTGCTTAATCTTGCACATTTGAAAAATGTAACTTAATGTTGAGATGTTCTAATGTGTATATATGGATTCTGTGTTATTTTTCTGTTTGTAAATTGGGGCGGGTAAAAAAAAAAAAAAAAGCTGTAATAACCGAGTTGATCGGTAGGGAGTTTCATTTTGTAACTTAAAGCTGAGTAAAATCAGAGGAACATATCAGTCGTCCACTAAAAGCGGTTAAATTAAGACGCGGAAGCAGATGTGAATTCATTCTGTCCTTTAAACCTGTAGATTTTAAATATTTTTACTTCATATTGATCATGCTTAGTGTAATTGAATGAAATGTTTATAATTACACTGTTTAATATGAAAATAAATGCAAATGGACTTCTAAATAAGGCTTTTGTGGTGCATATTTTTTTGCGTCAGTAAAGGAAGAGTGCAGAATCATTTCCACGTGTAGGTGATGTTTGACTGGATTTACCTGGTGAGTTTACAGCTTATCTTGTCTAACTTAAAGGTATAGAGGAGGATTTATGCGAATTTTGGATTAAGTGAAAATGGGGACGAGCACGTAGGATGTCCTTACGTCAACATATCACCACAATGATTGATATTTAAGAGGACCACTTATTTTGATGATCCACCCGGACAAAGAAGATCCTTCATTATACCTGACAAGAATTGCATCAGATTTTATGTTCTGATATTCCCAATCCTCCTAATTTAATTTATATATTACGTTAAAAAATGCAACATGGAAGAAACAAACAAAATTATCAGCATAAAATCAGGAAAACCGCACAAATCCAGCTGTTTTGTCACTGTGAGGCACATTGGATAATGGAACAGTACTTTGTCTTTATTTCACATTTCAATACTCTTTATAACACATCTGGTCATGTTATGATGCCAACACCTGCTGTGGTGTCAACCGTCTCTGCAGGGGGGGTGGAGTGCATGAATTTATTTATTGCAAAAAGGACTGAGGTGTCCCCGGGTGGAAAAGACAAAGATGTTTCACTCTAGTAAAAAAGCTCTGTAAGCAAGTTGTAACACTGCAACAGCAAAGGGCAGGACAGAAAGAAACCCATTTTAACAGTGTATTTGGAATGACTTTAAATGAATCAACAAAAATAAGAAAATAACTAAAACCCAGTCCATTTAAATGACACTGTTCAGAGAAACCAAAGCATAGCCCTTAATTAAAATATCTCCCTCTTTTCCCACAGCAAGATGTAAATACCCATACAAGCTTTTTCTTCACTGCAGTGGTCAAAACATGATCAAAGGTCAAACATGCATTTACTTTTGTTTTGAAAGTGAAAAAAGTATTATAGGACATTAGGAAAGCCATACTTTGTCTTAGTTTTTTGCTTTCTCTCCTCTATCCTCACTAAATACTGAGATGTTTTCTATCTGTGCAAATCAGCCCTGCTGTAACATTCATCCATCGATCAAATCCAGTCAAAATACTTTGTTAAAATAGTCAGTTTTTACGGTTGTGCTTCCCCTTTACGTAAAAGGAATGCCATATAGGTCCGAGGAAACGACTGCATCTCCAGGCACAAAGGGGGCTGGGGGCTCTTAGGAGGGACAGTGGGAACGCTACACACACACAGCACTCCCGTTCACTTGGGTCGCAGGGTGTTGGAGGGCCGGGCTGCGCGGGGGGCCGCTAGGAGGAAGGTGAGGGACCCGAAGGGGCTCTGCTGAGTTTCCTCTCACACTGATGTGCTCCCATCCTCCCTGGAAGACAAAGACTGGATTATTTTACGAACCATTCTACCAATCTTAATTTCTTTCTTGTTTGCATACTTCTTGACAACAGCAGATGTCAATGTTTTTATTGAGTTCCTTATTGACAGACCAACTTTAACAAGGTAAATGGTATTAATCTTTTACAAATAACTACCTCAATCCCCTCTCTCCCCTGCTGTATCTACAGTTTGTTGCAGCTTCTAACAGGTTTCCCTCCATATTTTCACCAACTCTAGCAATTGTTCCTGTCCCTCCATCTGTCCAGCATGATGCTGCCACCACCATGATTCACCATGGGGATAGTCTATTCATTGTTATATTTTTTATCCAAACACAGCACTTTACACACGGATCAACAAGGTTTAGAAACTGATTCAACCAGAGGGCTTTTCTTTTAACGAATTGGCATTTGGAAAACTACAAAAAGAATGTATTTTTGCTTCTTTCTTGTCTCTCTTCCATAAATGTTTCTAAAGATCCAGACCAGCAGTCCTGTGATATACTACTTTATTTTGGGGTATCCAAGTAAAAGCTATATAATAGATTATGACATATTGTGTGTTGTTATATCCCTTAGAATAAATCTGTTTAGTACAAATTATTTAGAATGGTGACAAGAAAAACATGTGAAATACTTTTACAAGAAAGTAAAAAATAAAAGTTTGATTTCAAATATGAGGGTAAAAAAAAAAAAAAAGCTCAACTCACTCCTATCCCATAGTCCCAGGAAAGGCCCTTGGGCTGCATTGGTCCAACACCCATCCTGTGGCAGACGGCCCCGGGGGGTTCAGTAGGAAATCCTGGAACTCTGTCTGCAATGATCCAAACCTAAAAGAAAAAGAAGTGAAATATCAAACTGTTGCCGTTGGACCAGGATTAAGCTGTTGTTGACATCCTGTAGGTAATATATATTCTAAATATTTAAAATGTAGCAGAAACTGTTTATCTCAGTTTGAGCATGTGCAAAACAGGACGCAAACTGGCATTATAATTAAAATGTAAATAATGATCTTCAGGACGTTTTCACTATCAGTTTTTTGGCCAAACTAGGTACTAACACCTACCTGGTCCAGCGGCCCTACAGACACCTTGCTGACGTTGTTGGAGATGAGCTCCCATGCAGAGCCCTGAGGATAGCTGGGCGTGAGGCCCTGTCTGTACCACAGATTACCTGAAAGAAATCAGGTTCAATTACATTTGATTTTTACTTTAAGGACACAAAGGAAAGAAAACTTAATGAAACTCACTGCTTTCATCTACAGCAAAGACAGATGTGCGGCCAACTGAGAGCTGTCTGAGGTTCTGCCTGGGAGGAGAGGGGATGTGGTACCAGCATTCCCCTACAGAGAAATAAAAGCTTCTGAAATAGATGATTTAAATAAATTGTCATTCTGTTTCTTTTAATGTGGTGTCATCTTAACCAACAGGCTAACTTCCAAATGCTGACCTGCAGGGTTTTGTGGAGACACAGATCCTCTGTAGAACACAGCCCCATCCCTAGTGATGGCCCACACCTGATTAGCTCCTCCAATGGAGATGGACTTAAAGGGCTGATCTGTGCCAACATGGAGCCAGGAGCTACCCTGTGGGATACAAATACTTTCAAATGGTGCCCAAGATTTTTGACCCACAATCTTTTCTTTATAGAGGATATTTTTTTCAGGGGCATGATCTAAAAATACAGATTTCTCACCGCAGGGTTCTGGGGGCTCACTCCCAGGCGACACAGGACATCTCCCTTGTCATTGAGGGCCCACACAGGGACATGCTCCATTTTGCTCTGGGCCAGACACGGCATCAGAGAGATGTCGCTTAGATGGATCGGTGGCACCATCTTCCATGGACCCCTCACTGTTATTTTGCACCTCCTGTATTAGAACAGGTCTCTGTTAATGCTTTAGTGGAAACAGGGCTACAAGCTGGAGGAGGGGAGGTGAGTTTACCTCGTCCATCTTCGGCGCCTCACAAAGTCTTTCATTGTTTTGTGGCCATGAAATGTCCTGTAGGGAAGAAACAAATCAGACAAATGGGTCGATAACTTTTTCATTAAACACACACAGAAAAAAAAAACATTTGAAGAAGCAGATTCTTCATACGTTGGAAAGTCTGCAGCGTACTGCCAGCCTTCTTTGTCTGTTCCTCCAGGAACACTAAAATCCACAGCCCACTCTGACACCTAAAAAAGCAGTTCACAACAGGAGACAAAAAGCATTCATTCACTACACGGGTAGTGTACCGTGTAGTTCCTGTTGCTTTACGGCAAATTTTCCAATGCAAGAATCCAAACAAATATTCAGTGGGAATTTATGACATATTTCCACAGTACTCAGAATTCCATACCTGCCCTGAGATGGAAAATACTTTATTAAATCCCAAAGCTCTTAAGCCTTTCCCAGAAAGGGACCCTTATTTCAGGAGACTTCTTACCCAGGACCACTGAGGGGAGGGGGGGTGCGTATTGCCTTTGGTGCACTCCATCAGCCCGGTCTCATCACTCCACATGGGGCGATCTGTAGGAAGTCCTCTGTTGGATCACAAAAGATTCCACAATATTTCTTTGTGTTCTTTGAAATCCATTGGTGTGTAATCTAACAGGTAAATGACCATAATTGTGTGTAAAATGTGGGAGGCCTACTTGTCAGTATAACCAGTCATTGGGTTCCAACGCTGATTCTCATACACATGTATACTCCTGACATCAGTCTGCAAGTTCATCTCATGGTTGACTAAAACAAAAACCCAGATGACATGTTAAGGATGCTTTAGTCTTATTACATCCACTGAAGCTGGAACCACACCATGCTACAGCAATCCCCATTAAGAGGACAGAAGAAGCCCATTCTGCATGCAGGACATGTGTTACCCTGACTGGTATGCTGTCCAAAGCTCCCGCTGTAGACCCAAGCAGTGCCATCCCACCCGATGCCCCACACCAGCCCCAGACTGTTCGACTCTATGCAGCGCAAGTGGCCCGGGATCTGCCGCCAAAACCTGCAGCAGCGTACATGTGGAAGCACCCAGTGTTAGTCACAGGATTTAGCATACAAGAGACAAAAAATTAAAATACAATTCAGGAGGCAAAGCAAGAGCATTAAAATTCCATCTTTGTTATCAGGCTCACATTAGGTCGCAGGCCATAGCGTGAGCCGAAGCCTCCAGGGACAGGGACGGCTCATGCACCATGATGTCTCCCTTAGAGGTGATGGACCACAGCGCCTGCGTGGATGGAGCCCCAGCAATACCTCTGCACTTGCAGCAACACTCTGACAACAGTTCAAGCTGTTGTTCCATAAAAGAAAGGTGGTAGACCAGAGATACGTTGCATTAGCGAAAACATCCTATTTTCTACACCAATTCATGAATGAAGGCAAAACTCTTACCCAGTCATTCATTTCCTTCTCTGATGGTGCTGCCAAGACCAGCGGCCATCTTTGTTTGGTTCTTTCAGCCGTGTAAACTGCAAAAGTGTAGTTGCAATCCTGCAGAACCGGTACCAGCGCCGTCACTTCATTTATGAACACCTGAAGGTGCTAAACACGCAACAATTTGTCAGTATTTACATATTTAGTACTTCTTGTCTTTTTTTGTTTTGCTGCTTTTCCAAATATCCAAATTCAGGACATGCAAACCAACC